CGCATGAACGTTCCAAATTGGAACCTCGTGCGCATGTATGTTGTCTTCTTGGTTATGGTCAGAGCATAAAGTTTATAGATTTTGGGATCCGATTTCTAAACGGTTGCGTATATCTCGTCATGTTACCTTTTGGGAGAGTGTCATGTTTTCCACCCTGTCTAAATTTCATGTCTCATTTATTCCTGGTTCACCTTCTTTCCTGTCGGCATGTCCTCCCTTGTTTTCTGATCTTGATCCTACGGCTCTATTACCGCATCCGGATCCTGTTCCAGTCAAGGCTTCTGATCCACCTCTAGTTAAGGCTTCTGATCCACCTCCGACCTTGTCTCCAGATGATGATCCGTCTGCGGTCACTGGACCTGTCATACCTCGTCAATCACATGGAGTGAGTCACCCCCTCCCCACTTGCATGATTATCATTGTTACTCTGTCATATTATCTCATTATGGAAGTATTGATCCATTATGGCAACAAGCTATGACTGAGGAATTGGAGACTCTGGCAAAAACTCACACTTGAGATTTAGTGGATTTGTCTTATAGCAAGACACCTATTGGGTGCAAGTGGATTTTCAAAATCAAGACTAATTCTGATGGTTCCATTGAGCACTATAAGGCTCGTCTGGTGGCCAAATGTTATTCACAGGAGTATGAAGTTGACTATGAGGAGACTTTTGCTCCCGTTGTTCGTCTCACTATTGTTCATTGTCTTCTTGCCGTTGTTGCTGCTCGTCAGTGGTCTCTTCTTCAGTTAGATATCAAGAATGCATTCTTACATGTCTCACTTTCTGAAGAAGTTTATATGACTCCCCCTTCAGGTTTCTCGTCCTCTGGAAAGGTTTGTCGCTTACGTCGCGCTTTATATGGGTTGAAGCAGGCCCATCGGGCTTGAAATGCCACATTTAGTGTTACACTATTGGAGTTCAGTTTTACCACATGCACTACGACTCTGGCCTATTTCTTCGTCGTTCTTCATCTGGGATAGTTATACACTTGCTTTATGTTGATGATATGATTATCATGAGAGATGATGTGTCTGGTATTTCTGATCTAGAGACATATCTTAGCCAGCAGTTTGAGATGAAGAGCTTGGGTCCACTTCGTTACTTCTTGGGGCTTCAAGTCTCCAATTCTTCTGATGGTATCTTTCTTTCTCAGGCTAAGTACGTCTCCGATCTCCTTGCTCGAGTTGGTCTCACAGATTGTCAGGTAGCCTTTACACCACTTGCCTATGACGTTCGACTTACTCCTCACGATGGTTCTCTTCTTGATGACCCTACCCTCTATCGTCAACTTGTTGGGAGCTTGATCTACTTGACTGTCACTCGACCAGATATCGCTCATGCAGTTCATATTTGAGTCAGTTCATGGCTGCTCCGAGGACCTCTCACCACTCTGCCATCTTACATATTCTTCGTTATGGGAAAGGTACTTTTCTGCATGGTTTACACTTTTTCTCTCTCTTGTTTTTGACTCTTAGCGGTTACTCTGATGCTGATTAGGTTGGTGATCCTACCGATCGTCGTTCGACCACTAGTTTCTGCTTCTTCCTGGGTGATTCTCTCGTCTTTTGGCGCAGCAAGAAGCAAACTTTAGTTTCTCGATCGAGTGCCGAGTTGGACTATCGTGCCCTTTCTGACTCTACGTCAGAACTTTTATGGCTTTGTCGTTTACTCAATGATCTTGGTTTCCTCATTCATCTTCTACAGCTCTTCACTACGACATTCAGAGTGCTATAAAGATGGCCCACAATAATACTTTGCACGAGCGCACCAAGCATATTGAGCTTGACTGTCACTTCATTCGACAACATGTCGTCGGTGGTGTTGCCCATCTCGTTTCGGTCTCCTCCGCAGATCAGGCAGCAGATATCTTCACCAAGTCTCTTCTTCCCGGTCGGTTCCAATTGCTTTTGGACAAACTCAAGTTGGTTTCTACGACACCCACTTGAGTTTGAGAGAGAGATGTTGAGATATTTTAAATATTCTATTTTATATTTAGTAGATTTATACTTAGATTTGGTTTTATATATAGATTATATTACTTAGATTTTAGTCTATCGAGTCTATTTTGTATTGTCTATATATAGGCCCCCTTATTTTGATGATCAATAAAATAATTTTATTATTTTACCCCAAAATTTATAACATAAATATTCTGTAATTATTATGCAGGAACGAATTCTATGCTGAATTATAATATTCAACACACAGTTGAATTTAATCTCCACCCTTTATCGTTAAATTATTTATTTAATTAAAATATTAGATTTAAAATTAGTGGTTATGGTTAAATTTAGCATATGTTAAAGACTTCATATTTATATCACCCTATGATCCAATTCCATATTATTTTCACTTTATCTCAACTGAATGTATCGTTTTTACTTTTTTTTTTTTTTTTATTCAAAAATATTTATTTTTATTATAATAAAATAATCACATAGTAATATCAAAATTTTATTTAATTTTTATATCAATTACAAATATACTATTACACATATAATTAATTTATACATAAAATACAAAGATAGAAATACTCCCTCCGTCCCATTGAAAGGTTACTATTTTCCATTTTTGTCCGTCCCAAAACAAGGTTACCATTTCCTAATTTAGTAATTGTACTACTTACTTAACATAATAAATACCCTTTCAACTTACAATATATTACACAAATGCCATTACTTTTATATTACACCATACTAATATGGGTATTTTTGTCTTTTTTACTATAATTCAATATAATACTAATATTCAAAAATCTACGTGCAAAAAACAAACGCCACCCTTCCAACGGGATGGAGGGAGTATCAAAATTATCTTACATACTTTCACTAACTAATAAATAATTATTATTTATTAATTTAGTGCAAAACCTCAAATGAATCATTCGAATTGAAACGAATATAATATTAAGTATGACTTCCATTTAAAAAATCAATTGATGCAAAAAAAAAAAATAGTGTATTTACTTATAAGATTATGCACTTAATTTTACAATTGCAATTTTTTTTTTCAAAAATATCAAATATATTACACTAAAATATAATTTTATATTTAAAATGTCAATATTGATCCCTACTTTTGAAACCTTAGATTTGACCCAAAATTTGAAAAAAAAAAATTGTGGAATTCAGAAGAGGCCCACTGAGGGCCAGACCTAATGTGAAGGCACCTCATGATTGATCGGTTCACTTTCGACCCTAAATAAATAATCTAAACGACAGTTTTAGAGAAAGCCAGATTACAATAATTGTGGTCGAATACATTCAATCCACGATAACCGAATTCAAGTAAATTCGGTCCGTTTTAGAATGATTGACTAAAAGGTGGCCGGACATCAGGGGTTTGGACTTGTGATGCCCGTTGTAACTACCTTTCCGATTACGTGGACCACGGAGTGAGAAACTATCAGCAGTTGGCACACAATTTGCCTAACCAAACGGTGGGAATTGAAAGACATTCTGAAGAAAGTATATATAGACCAACAGTGATAGAAAGGAGGACACCTTCAATCGATATAAATTTCAAAGGGAGTTCATTGAAGATCCCCCTTGTTTATTTAATTGCTAATTTCGGTGCTTAAAGGTCTACCATCTCAAGCCCAAGAAGATCAAGTTCCAAGATGTCAACAAATTGGCAACCACAGTGAGAGTCAAGTCAAAATTGTTGATCCTACATCCGATGAAAGCTTCATACAATTACGATCCGGCCAAACTTTCGGAATGATTCATATGGCAAGATCTTAGTCGCAAACATCCAACGTCTCGATTGGAGTACTTACTTCGAGGATACTCACTTCAACTATACTCACTACCGGAGGAACAATAACTATCAAGGCCGGATGGATGGTGTATGTTGAACAAATGAACAACCAACAAACGACCACCATGCAGGGTATGAAAATACGATGCAAAATATATTCGAGCAAACACTTTCAAGAATCACACCGGAGTCCGTTATCAAGACTCCAGGAATCTCACCCTAGCAATTACATGCGAATTTCACTGGTCCATTTTACGTACAAAATAGTACTGTCCCCAATACAACACATTTCTTTTTTGAAATTTTCTTAACGTATTTCTAGGGTTCTGGCTTTTATTTTCTATAATTTTAACAAAAAAAAAACTCCGTAACAAACTATTTATTCCTGTGCACGTTTGCCCTATTTGTTTTGCTCGCAACAATCCAATTAGTTCTACGGGTGAAAAAACATGAGGCAAATATTTTAAAACATATATAATTTATCTCATTTTTTTTCATTCCACATAAAATGCTCATTTTTATTAATCATTCTCCTAATTTTTCCCTTTATTCGTCGCTGGCATCACACTATTAGGTGCGATAAGAGAATTCTTTTTGTTACATTTTTATCGATTCAATATTTTTATTTAATAAACAAGAATAAGCAATCTTAAATATTTAAAATAAATTTATTTTTATATAATTTTATTCGTTGTTGTCAATCCTCTACATTTTGTTTTTCTATCAAAAGCATCGTCTGAATTTTTTATTATTCCAATGTTTTTTTTAAAAAAAATAAATAATCATCTATGTATTATTTATTGTATTATATAAAATTTAATTATACAATCAAAATATTACATTAATAAATATTTATACCATATCAAATATTCATTTCAAAATTTTATCATTTAAAATTCAAATCTAAAATTAAACACACAATCAAACACATCATTTTTATAAAATATCAAATTAAATTTATTACTTAAATCAAAAATCAAATTCAAACACAAAATAAACCTTCTGGTCGAACAGCTAACCTAATAATAAACACCACATTAGTATATACTTAATTCAACATCAATAATTACTAATATATCCCTATGTTACGAAATGAACATGATACCGATATCAAGGGCAATTCCGTCAAGCCAAATTCCAACGGTTCGATTGCGATATAGCCGTTGGGCACACCCCTCCCTCCCTCTGAAAACCCTAATTCGCTAGAACGGTATAAAAACCCTTCCGTTTCCTCAAATATTCTCAATCGTACAGCAAGCAATCTGAATCATCTCCCTCGCACCCGAACTCTCTCGAATCGATCTGAGCATTCTGTTTTGATTCTGCTTCAATTATTTGTTTAGTTCTTATTAATCATTATCATCATCTGTGTTGTTGTTATTGTTTAATTTCATTGTTGTTTAGTTCAATTGATATTGATCTGATTAGGTCTTTAATTTCATAGGCTTCTTTATCTGTTCTTGTATAACATTTGTTGATTTTGCAGGTAGTTGGATTTGGAAATTTACTGCGTTTGCTCATATACAGATATTTAGATTTTTATCAGTAACATATCGATCGCATATATTCTTTTATTTGTGTTGTTTTATTGCTTGTTCTGAGAAAATGGAAACAGGAATGATTTCTTCATCTGCCTCTTCGAGAAAGAGTAAATCGCGGTTCCCGCTCCAGGAACAGATCCTACTACATAAAAGAAATTCTCGGGAAAATGTAATTACTGACTGGATCTGTTCTTAGATTTGATAATTCTTGATTATAAACCATCTGTTCTTAAATTTGGTGATAATTCGTGATTCTAAATCATCTGTTCTTAGATTTGACAATTGGTGATTATAAATGCATCTGTTCTTAGATTTGATGATCCTTTGTTGTGACAATTCGTGATTATAAAGGCCTAGCATTCAACAATGGCCTTGTCAGTATAATCATTCTATGAATTAATTGTGATGTAGATTTTGACTCTGGCTATTTGATTGTCTGTTTATGCAGTTGGATCGGTTCATTCCTAACAGGTCAGCCATGGATTTCGATTATGCACATTATATGCTTACGGAAGGTGCCAAGAAAGGTAAGGAAAGTCCCACAGTAAGCTCGTCTCCATCAAAAGAGGCGTACCGGAAGCTTCTTGCCGAAACCTTCAACATGAACAGGACAAGGATTCTCGCTTTTAAGAATAAGCCCCCAACTGTTGTGGAGGCTATTCCAAATGAGTTTTTGTCGTCTGCGGCACATCAAGCTAAACCTGTCAAACCTCGTCGACACATTCCTCAGGTAAAAGAAACTCTGTTTTAACAAAAAAAACACTGATTTTGGTAATATATATTGTATTCGAATTGTTGAAAGAATCGAACTGTTAATGTGCAGACCTCAGAGAGGACATTGGATGCCCCTGACCTTATCGACGATTACTATTTGAATTTATTGGATTGGGGTAACAGCAATGTTCTATCAATTGCTCTTGGCAACACTGTGTACTTATGGGATGCTTCGGATGGAAACACTTCAGAACTTATGACAATTGAGGAAGAAAGTGGTCCGGTGACGAGCGTAAAATGGGCTCCCGACGGCCGGCATATTGCAGTTGGCCTTAACAACTCCGAAGTTCAGCTATGGGACTCGACAGCCAATAGACTTGTCGGTGATCTTAATCCTAAGCTTAATCTTAAATGATGTTCCTTTTTATGTACATACGTGTTCTGAATCGATCCTTTTTTATTTTGTTTAGTTGCGAACCTTGAGGGCCGGACACGCGTCGCGTGTGGGTGCAATGGATTGGAACAATCACATCTTGACGACGGGAGGAATGGACGGTCAGATCATCAACAACGATGTGCGAGTGAGGGAGCATGTTGTTGGGACTTACCGCGGGCATCAACAAGAAGTATGTGGGCTTAAGTGGTCAACGTCGGGGCAGCAATTGGCGAGCGGTGGCAACGACAATCTCCTTCATATATGGGACAGATCAATGTCGACGTCGTCGTCGAATGCTCTCCACCGGCTCGAGGATCATACGGCGGCGGTTAAGGCGCTGGCGTGGTGCCCTTTCCAAGCCAACTTATTGGCCTCCGGCGGTGGCGGCGGAGACAGGTGTATTAAGTTCTGGAACACTCATACCGGCGCTTGCTTGAACTCCGTCGACACGGGATCGCAGGTCTGCGCGCTTCTGTGGAACAAGAACGAGAGAGAATTGCTGAGCTCCCATGGATTTACAGACAATCAGCTCACTCTTTGGAAGTATCCTTCCATGGTGAAGGTGGCGGAGCTCACCGGACATACGTCTCGAGTGCTTTTCATGGCGCAGGTAGAGTTTGGATTTGAGTTTTGAATTTGAATTTTAATGGCGAGGATGATGATTGAATATGGTTTTTTTGTTGTTATTTGTAGAGTCCGGATGGATGTACTGTGGCGTCGGCTGCAGGGGATGAGACGTTAAGGTTTTGGAATGTTTTTGGGACGCCGGAGGTGGCTGCCGCTGGTAAGGCGGCGGCGAAGGCGAAGGCGGCGGAGCCGTTTGCTCACTTGAATAGAATCAGATAAGTAGTTGGATTTTGATAGAATTTGCAGAATTTTGTATAGTAGTTTTGTTGTTGTTGATGATGATGATTGTGTTTAAATTTTTGTGGTTTTGGGGAGTCACAGATCAGTGACCAAATTTGATGATATGCAATTCTTTCATTTTTATATTTATATGTTATTTTATATTTTGAGAATTCTAATGGAACAATGTATATATATATATATATATATATAAAAGTCGGGTCCGCCCTATTTACACAACACACTTTTGCTCAAATTAAAATAAATTTAATTTTATTAAAGAAAAATCAACGAAAAAACAAAAACAAAGTTTGAACTATGATTTGATTTTAGGTTCAAATTCCAAATCACCCATCAAAACACAAAATCAACACAAACACATACAACGCGACATACACAACCAAACCGGCCCGAGACTCTCAACCTAGACTGAAAACAACCCCCACAAGTAAGGAAAATGAAAGCAACAGTAGAACAACGGCCAAAGAGAAAGAAACCATACAAACTGAAAGCAAAACTCGATGTCGAACCCCTTGCAGTTCGAATCGAGACAGGGGAACTGAAAGCACCTCTAATCTTCACATAAAACAGGAGAAATAAGCTCGTCAAAGGTTGCCAGAGAAGATCATCGGAGTATCGCCAATATCGCCAAGTGTGTACAAAGAGGCTAGAGACTTTAGAGAGAGAGAGTGAGGGTGAGTGTATTGATGACTCCCTCTCTATATATATATATATATATATACATATTTATATATATATTTAGAACTAAAACTCTTGATCAAACGGTCCACAACAAGTCTAGGAAAAATAGATGCGGGTCAGGTCATAGAACTGAATCGATGGGTTGGGTCACGGACAGAAGCGGAACTCGAGGCCGATGCAAGGGGGGCTAGTTCTTAAATTTTTTAAAAAATAACACGATTAAAAATATATATTTCAATATTGTATTTTTTAAGTTGATATATTTGAAGATAATAATAATAAATAAAGCAATAAAAAAATACATATTGTATATATTTATTTTTATATTGTTTAAAAATAATAAATAGAACTGTTTTTTTTTAGAAAAGAAAAAAATATTTAAAAAATTATTAAAATTATCTTATTATCACAACTAAAAGTGTATTTAACTTTTGTTATATATATTGTATTATCTTATAACATTTCTAAAAAATTATATAAAATTAAAATACTAGGCATAAACATACTTAATTATTATTTTAGTATTATTCTTTATGTAATTTAAATATTTTTAATATACAAATACATACATACTTAACAAAAGAAAATTTAGAAAAATATTTAAATAAAATAAAGGGGCGGGGCCCGGGCCCCCCTTGCCCTACGGTGGTTCCGCCTCTAGTCACGGATTATGGGTTGGGATCAGGTTTAATTGGCCACAAAATATACATGTATTTGAGTTTGTATATGGATCCAATAATGGTCTAAAAAATTATTATCAATCAAAATTTTATAACACAAATTTTCAAATTTTTAAAATTCTCCAAAAACTCTTATATGAACAAACACAATCATAGGCACGATCTAAGAATCAAATAAAAATAATGTTAAATTTTAAAATTATCCTCGGTAATAAAATATATATTATATAGATTACATTTTCGAATTTGATAATGAAATGAATTTATTCATTACTTTTTAGATTTTAAAAATGTGCAAATGAATGGAATAATTATTTTATAAAATTATGAATAAATAATACTATTTAATATAAAATCTGTTCGGTATATAAATAGAAAAATATAGCATAAAATTAGTATACATTTTCAAATTAACTATAATAGAATCAAATTGAATTTATTCGTGAATTACTTTGAAATTTTTAAAAAGTGCAAATAAATAGAATATTTTTTTTATGAATCAAGTATAAATAATAATAAATTTTAAGATTTTGTTCGGTAAAGAAAAATGTAGGATAAAATTAGTATACATTCTTAAATTAACTATAATAAAATTGATTTATTTTACTTTTTATACGGTGAAAGATGGAAATAAGTCGAATAAATTTTTATAAGAATAATCAAATATAAATAATATTAAATTTTAAGATTATGTTCGATAATAAAAATATGTAGTATAAAATTAGTATATATTTTTAAATTAATATAATCAAACTGAATTTAATTATTACTTTTTCTATTTTAAGAAGGTACAAATGAATCAAATAATTCTTTGTAAGAATATTAAAATTTTAAAGCTTATGTTGTTATGTAATTAAAAAAAATATAGTACTATAAAATTAGTATATACATTTTAAATTAACAATAATCAAACTGAATTTATTCATTACTTTTTAAAAATTTTATATAATATATAAATAATATAATTAAAATTGCAATAGTATATATATATATATATTTTTCTGTGTGAATTTGAAAAAAAGAAATAACAAAAATTAATTTAAAATAAATTATATTATGCAGAAGAACTTTAATAAAACATGAGTAGATTTTATGACTTTTAGAAGGTATTTTTTGTAGATTTAGAAAAATAATAGTTGAATTTTATGTTATTTGTTTTTTTTTTTAAAATAATAGTATTCTCTTTGTTTGATATGCTACATTCGTCCACCTCTAAAAGTTACATTTATTTTTTTATTTTATTATGTTTTAAATTTTTTAATTTATAATTTTTTTTAATTATACTAAATATTTATTTTAATTATAAATTATAATTATAATTATTTGTATTGTTTTGTTGTGGAACCATAATTCGGACCCTACGGTTCGGCCAAGGCTTGTGGGTGATCGGCCCATTTTTCATCTTAAACCAAAGTCTAAGTGATTGAATTGAAAAAAGATCGTATGATAGTTATCGACATTTGGAATTTAGTGATCGAATTCGGTTCGACTAAAGATAATTGATCAAAAGCCGAATTTGGGTTTGTGGGGGCCGTTGTAATTGCCCCTTTGAATCCATAGGCCACGAAGTAAAAAAAAACTACTGGCAATTGATACACGATTAGCTAACCGAACAATAGAAGTTGAAAGACGGTTTCAAAAAAATGTATATATGGATCATCGGTGATGGAAAAAAATATCTTCAATTCCCATCGCAATTTCAAAGGAAAATCATTGAGGTTAACGCACTCTATTTTTTTGTATATTTTTACTTGTTTATATAATTAATTAAGTCCGGTGCTTAGAAATCCATCATCTCAAGCCTAAAAAAATCAAGTTTAGAGTCATATTCGAATTTTACTTTATTTTGTTAAAAAATTAGTTCAAAAATTATATTGTAATTATTTTTATCAATTATATTTTTAATTATTTAATTATTATACTCCTTCTAAATTCATATATCTACAAATAATTATGATATCATATTTAGAACGGAAGGAGTACTAATATAATATTGATAGTGGAGTCATCACTAAAGATGATACATTAAAAATACATTTGTATCATCATCTTTAATGATGACTCATTTGTACTTAACATTAAAAATATCATTATATTTATATATATATATTTTTTGTATAAACGTCCTTCTATTAGTATTACTAGCGGAATACCCGTGAAAAAAATTTATAATCATATATTTTTTATTTAATAGTAATTTCTTTATATTATATATATTTTATTTTAATCAATATAAAAAAATAAAATAATATCAATGAATTATACTATCTCCATAAATATTAAATTTTGTAGCATTTTATTTTTATTTCTTAATTGGATATAAAATTATAATATAATAGTATTACTTTTTATATTTTCTTTATAATCGTAATTACAAATAAAAATTATTTATCAATATATACATTGTAATTCTAGAATAAATTTATAACCTAAGTATATATATTTTTTTAAACATATATATGTGTTTATATAATTATTTAAAAAATTAGTAAAATATGCAATATAACCAAAATAATTTTAATATTAAAATTTGGATTAAAACATGCAATATAACCAAAATAATTATTAAAATTTGGAATAAAATATGCAATATAACTAAAATGATTTAATGTTAAGATAACAATTTAATTTATTATGAACAAAATCAATTAAAAAATATATAAAAATTATACATATATTTGGATGTGTTTAGAATTTAATTGATTATGAAAATAAATTTATTATTCATATATTTGGATGTGTTTACAACTTAACAAATAAAATCAATTTCCCAGATAACTTAATTATAGTATTGTAACTCTATGTGATGAAAAAAAATAATAAAAATAACATATAACTTAATATAAATTATGATCAATTTCTGATTTTTTCTCTCTTTAACATTCATCTCTTTTTGAAGAAATTAAATACAAAATAAAAAAATAACCATAAATAAATTCGAAATTTCAATTTCAAAGTAAAAAAAAATTATAACTCTTGCTCTACGCCACATCAAAATAAAAAATTTAAAGGATAACAAAAGAAAATAAGAAAATAGTGAAAAATAAAATGAAAATTTTAGGAAATTGCGGTAAAAATTAATTTTCCCATTAACACTCAGTTAAAAAACTATTTAAAACCAAATTTTGAGAAAATCGTAAAACCACCCCATTTATTGATAAAGAGTTAAAACGATAAAACAAAATTAGAAAAATGAAAAAAAAATAATAAAAATAACATATAACTTAATACAAACTATGATCAATTTCTGATTTTTTTTTCCTTCTTTAACATTCATCTCTTTCTGAAGAAATTAAATATAAAATAAAAAAAATAACCATAAATAAATTCAAATTTTCAATTTCAATATTAATAAAGAAGAATAGCAAAATAATTCAATATTATCAATAAAAAAAATATTTATTATAAAATTGGATAACTTATCATATTAAATATAGATAAAATATTTTTTAAAAAAATTCCTACCGTGGATTGTAAAAGAACAACAACATGTAAATTAAATAACTTACTTCAAGAAGACGGACTTATGCTTGTAGTAGAAAATTTTTGTCAAAATGGCTCAAAAATTATATAAAAGTTCTAAAAAAAATTAATTAATAAAAATGAATATGAATCAAATAATAATAAAATATAACAACTTGAAGAAGTAAAAGTTTCAAAGAACAACACTCTCTCGTGAAGGAAAAAAAACCCTTGCACACCCTGTAAAACTTGCCTGAAGAGAACATCCCCTAAAACTTGGTTGAAGAATTTCTGTAAAAC